AGATTCTTGACATGTTTTGCTTTTTTTAGATCCATTCAGTTTTATAAATTGTTACTTTGTGTTGTGTGGGTGCTTTCACACACCCTCCCACCTCATCTGTAGAGAAAACTTCAGTCTGTTCAGAGATACAACTCTTTCTTTCCTTCTTGTGTGACTTTCCCAGTAGAAAACATCCCTCTATCCTACAAAGCAACCCAGCTATTTAACCTAATCTCACTCAAGGAAATGTAAATCTATTCAAATGGTGAAAAGCGGTTGTATCAATGCTTTAGTTAGAGTTTCTGTTGCTGTGAAGAAACATCACAACCACAGCAACTCATAAAGAAAAACATTTCATTGGGGTGGCTTACAGTTTGGAGATTTAGCACATTATCTTCATGGCAGGTGGCATGCAGGCATGCATGGTGCCAGAAAAGGAGCTGAGAGTTCTACCTCTTGATCCACAGGCTACAGGAAGTGAACTGTGTCACTGAGCATAGCTTGAGCACAGGAGACCTCAGAGTCCACCCCCACAGTGACACACTTCCTCCAATAAGGCCACAACTACTACAAGAAGGTCATATCTCCTAATACTGCCACTCTCTTTGGAAGCCATTTTCTTTTTTTTAATAGAATTTTTATTTTATAATTAACTTAATTTCACATATCAGCCACGGATTCCCCTGTCCTCCCTCCTCCCACCCCCAGCCCTCCCCCCCAATCCACCCCCTACTCCCACCTCCTCCAAGGCAAGGTCTCCCCTGGGGAGTCAGCCCAGCCTGGCAGACTCAGCCAAGGCAAGTCCAGTCCCCTCCTCCCTACACCAAGGCTGAGCGAAGTGTCTCAGCATAGGCCCCAGGCTCCAAAAAGTCAGCCCATGCACCAAGGACAGGTCCTGGCTCTACTGCCTGGGGGCCTCCCAAACAGTTAAAGCTAATCAACTGTCTCACTTATCCAGAGGGCCTGGTCCAGTTCCATGGGGGTTCCTCAGTCATTGGTTCACAGTTCATGCGTTTCCACTAGTTTGGCTATTTGTCCCTGTGCTTCCTCCAACCATGGTCTCAACATCTCTTGATCATACAATCCCTCCTCTCTCTCTCACCGGTTGGACTCCTGGAGTTCCACCTGGGGCTCTGCCGTGGATCTCTGCATCCACTTCCATCAGACACTGGATGAGAGTTCTATCATGACAGGCAGGGTGATCGGCCATCCAATCACCAGAGTAGGTCAGCTCAGGCACTCTCTTGACCATTGCCAGTAGTCTACAGTAGAGGTATCTTTGTGGATTTCTGGAGACCTCTCTAACACTCTGCTTCTTCCTATTCCCCTGGGGTCTTCATTCATCATGGTATCCCCCTCTCCATTCTCCCACACTGCTCCTGACCCAGTTGGGCCATTTTCTTTCAAACTGCCACAATCAAATTTACTGATTTTTGCCATTTTCAAAAGTATCATGTAGTTTTATAGGTCTCAAAAGGTAATTTTGAATATATGTGATTCTTTTCTTTTATGATAAGTTTAGAACTTTACCTCTTACGTAAGACGTAACTCTGCTTGAAGATGACAGGAAGTACAGAGGGCCACACAGCCATCAGCATGCCTTCTTCTTTTCTCTATAACAAAACCTTAATTTCTTCAGGTAGTGACCCTTCTTATGGCAAACAGGACTGTGATACCAGCTCCAGGAGTATATTTGACTTAGGCATACAATACTCTCCCTACCTCAGGCTTACGATACTCTCATCTGTCTCACAACTGCCTAGTTGGGAACTGGTCCAGGCAACAATTCTGGTCTGATATGCAAATATGAGAATGGGTACATTAAAGAAGTATTAGACAGATTCTCCAGAAGGAGAAGACTCAGTGGTGGTTCTTCCCATGTGTGTTGCTATGCTTCTAACGTGTAAGGACCTAGCTTTGATCTCTGGAACTTGGGGAAAAAAAGAACAGATGTAAGACTTTAAGGAGACTGTGTAGTTCACATAAATGGACTCTGATCAGTTTGGAGCCTGAGAACCCCATGATGCAATCCAGTTATTAGTTGATTTCGTCCCTGGTGAGGGCTTGCTTCCTGATCTGCAGATGCCTGCGATCTTGCTATATCTCTTCCATATATTTTCCCTTGGTATATGGAAGTAGCAATAGAGAGAAGGGAAGCTTTTCTGTTTTCTCTTTTAAGGCCACTATCCTATTAGGTTAGGATGCCACCCTTAGGACTCCATGTAATCATTATTACCTGAACTGAATCTCCAAATACAATCTCATTGGGATTAGGGCTTTGTGATGGTTAATATTGACTGTCAATTTCATTGGGATGAGAATTGACTAGATTAGTGTAGAACATCTATCAATATGTCTGTGAGGATGCTTCTGGAGATAAATTATTGAGTGGAAGGAGACATAAAAGGCCGGATAGCCAGGAGAAGTAAAAGAGAAAGGATGAAGAAGCCAGCCAATGCTGGCATTCCTTACTTCAGCATCTTGCCCTGATGAGGTGGATAATTTTGCTCTGCCATACACTCTTTTTAAGAACTATCATACAAAGTACAGGTATCAGTATGGCATTTTCACACATACTTTGTTTTGCTTGATCTCACTCCCTTTTAGCTCCTTTCCCTGATCTCTTTTTTCACATGTACCACCTGTCCCTGGTAGTTTCCACTTTCATATGTTGTTGACTCTTCCCATGTTGCCTCCTTATTAAATTCCGTTTTTTCCTGTCTCATGGTTCTCTTTCCAGTTTCATGTCCTATACCCACAATCACTCCTACATAAATGCATACATATAAAAAATTGGAATATAGGCTGGGTATGGTGGCATAGCCTTTAATTCCAGCACTCAAGAGGCAGAGGCAGGTAGATATCTATGGAGTTCCAGGATAGTCTGGTCTACATAGTGAGTTCTAGAAAATCCAGAGTTATATATTGAGACTCTGTCTCTAAACATATATATATATATATATATACATAAATACATATATATGTATGTGTATATATATACACACACACAAAATATATTGAGTCTCTGTCTCTAAACATATATATATATACACACACTATATATATTGAGACTGTCTCTAAACATATATACGTATACATACATACATACATACATACATACATACATACATACATACACATACACACACAACACACACACAATTAGCAGCTAGGATTGGCACATGAGAGAGAACATACACTATGATGTCCTGCCTCACTACAAGCCCAGAGCAGTGGTACATGAAGACTATGGACTGACACCTTAGGAACCACCAGCCAGAGTCAAGCTTTCTTCCTTTTAAGTTGATCTCTCAGGTATTTGTCATAGTGATAAAAATACTGAGCACTCACAAATTTCTTCATTTTATTTTGTGCTAGGGTTGGACCTATGTCTTTGCATATATTAGACAGATGTTCTACCACTGAGAGACATCCTATGTCTCCAACAGATCAACCTAGGAAATTCATCATTTGTCCATAATAAATCATACAAATGATCTTATGTTATCCAAACATGGTTTTTTTGGTTACATTCAGTTGACTATATATCCTCATAGATATCCTAGCTTATGAAGTAACACACAAAAGATAATGTCTAATTCATGGTCTATAACTTGAGAAGATCAAGGATTATTTTCCTCTCTCAGAACAAACAGGTATAGAGTTGAAATGGTTACATCTAACAGCTAATGTCCATTGCTGTTACAAGGCATTTCACAGCTGCTGATCACATATAGATGTAGTATCATGTTAACATAAGCAGCCCAGCCCTTGGGGATATTTGTTATAAAATAAACATTTTCCTAAAATTGTGTGCTCTGATAGAGAAAACACACTCCAGCCTAGGCCCATCATAAACTTCTGGCAAGACAAGAGACACTAGTTGGTGATTTCATCAGGCAAGACTTCCAACTAATGGGCTGATGAAAACATTGTTGCACAAACAAACTCAACTATGATTCTTCTTGTGAGTTTTGTCATCTTAGATCATTATGGTTTATTTATGAAAAGCATTACCTTAGATATTACCACAATCCTATGGATATAAACACATACACTTTTCTTTTCTGAAATCAATCAGTTACCTTTTTCTTGTGATTCAATCTTTCTTTTTTTCTCCTCTCTCTTTTTCTCTCTCCCTCCCTCCTTCCCTCCCTTCTCTCTCTCCCTCCCTCCCTCCATCTCTCTCTCTCTCTCTCCCTCCCTCTCTCTCTCTCTCTCTCTCTCTCTCTCTCTCTCTCTCTCTCTCTCTCTCTCTCTCTGTGTGTGTGTGTGTGTGTGTGTGTGTGTGTGTGTTTTCTCTGTCTTACTCTGCAGCTCTGGCTAGCCCAGAACTTGCTGTGCATACCAGGCTAGCCTGAAACTCTCAGAGCCTGTGTATGCCTCTGCAACATATGGTTTTCCAAATCAAATTTAAATTTTAGAACTATCTTTAACCAAAAGGTAAAGTGTGGAGTTTACTGAGTCCTGGGAAGGTTCTCATGAAGCATTTGCCAGGCCCTTTAGTGATATTGCATGTAACCAATTTTACTCCATTTAAAAAAGATGAAATGTACATAGACATCAAAATATTATAAAGTGATGGATTTCATAGCATGGTAAAATTTACCTTCTAATCTAGCTGTGGAAGTGGAAGGTCAGCAATTACCAAATTTAAAAAAGCCTAAACAAAACAACCCAACGGAATTTTACCAAGAAACAGACAGTGAGAGAAATGTTTGCATATACATGGATCCAAATTGAACCAGAGAACCCAGGCCATTTTGCAATCTTAAACTTTCTGACACTATTTTTATGAACTCAGTAAAACAAACCACGAGGTGAAAGATTTTTTCGAAAAACCTTTCTGGTTCCACTGTGTATTTCATGACTGAGCAAATGTGACATTAAGTTTTATCCCCTGTGGCTTGGAGTTAAACACTTGCTCTGCTCAGAATGGCACCACTCAATTAAACAGCATTTTTTCTCAACCTACACCCACCATCATTACTCTGTTTCAGGGAAATAAAGTGAGTACTGACCTATATTGCGCTTCTTATTATCAATGGAGATGAAGCGTATGCAAGGATTACTGGTGATGTACTGGCCAGCCCAAGGGACATCAATCTTCATGCCTGCTTCATAAAAGAGGCCCAGAGCATAGCGAGAGGAGTAGCTCACCGATGCCAGTTGCTGCCTTTGGCATTCACTAATTACTGTGGAAGAAAAAACAAAACAAAACATAAACTCAAAAATATCATCTTTCCCTTTAGTCATCAAATCCAAAGCTCCTTTAAATAAGTTCTAAGTGTCTCCAGTAGCCCCCTCTTAGTCACCGTGAATTTTGAAAGGTCATGTAAAATGTTCTTTGTTCTATATTTTTTTTCCAGAATCTTTACTAATGCTGGTACAATTCCATTTAGTAAGATGAAGGTTCGAGTTCATTAGATTCTCAAAATCTGGCTCTCAGTTGCTGCTCCAGCCTTATATCCTATTTGCTGGCCATGGACTGTCTGGCAACATTATAGATTTTGTATACTTGCCCCTTAACTATGAGTTGAATGCTTTTGCTAATCATTATCACAGCATTTCACATAATTATAACCATGATCTTATAAAACTGAGTATTACTTCCATGTAATAGGTGAGGAGACTGATTCTTCACCTCTTATGGCCCCTTCAATATGTCTGTGCGATTTAATTTGCTTGTTGGTCACGTTCCCATTATTGCACTGTAGTTGTTTTTTAGGCAAACGACCACACCTCAGTCATCAGTGTGATGGGACCTTTCCTGATACACATCTTCAGCAAGGCCCAATAAGGTTTAGGGAAGACAGTTAGTATATAGACTTATACAGTTAGACAGAATACTTGGAAATTTCTCATGCAGTGAGAAATATCCTGATTTAGAAGAGCACATTTCAAGGATCTTTGGTCAAACCTTGGAGAAGTGGCTTTAGGAATACAAAGAGGTGGGAAGAATATTCCATAAATTATTTAAGCATAGAAATATTAGTAAAAATTACAAATACTATTAGAGCAATAGTTGACAAACTTTTTAGAATTATGTTGTTGAATTTAACCAGTCTTGCATGTTATACATTTTTAAATATTCTTATTTCACATCTCTGGGAAGCTGCAATTTGGAGAGGTTTAATCATGCTGACTGGCCACAATGAAGCTAGAATTCTCATTTTTAGACATTGACACATCCTTATCACCTCAATCTGTTCCTGCTGACTGTGGTTTCAGAATAAATTCCAACACTACTTTCTTCTCAGACATTAATGATTATTTTATACTCAAAAGTAAAAGCTTATCATTTCCTCCAAACACGATTTTCTGCCTTATTAAAAAGCTTTACCTGCTTAATAAACAAATGTTCACCTGACACTGGCCCCATTATATTCAGAGAATGATGGGCCTTATTTTTATTAATTTAATTCACTTTTCAAGCTGTGGCTTGACATCAAGTTATGCTTACTGTTTTCTGAAAGAGAAGAGGTGAGAGCTGTAAGTTACAGAAGTTAAAATCATCTCCCCAAATTGCCCGTTTGTGGAATTAAAAACACAACCAAACAATCTTTCAATTAAGAAAAACTGAAAAGAAAGCAATCAACCAACCAAACAAAATTGTGAGCTATTGAGTACCCACAAAGGCTTGAAACATTTTTTAAAATTAAAACTAAAGGGTCAAGTAGGTCGACAGCCAAATTGGATCTCACCTCCACCATATTTGTACATGTAGCTAAATTTTAAACAAACTGGCAAGTGGCAAATCCCCTTGGGTAACCTTTTGAAAAGGTAATTGGTATCTACAGAGAAAAAGCAACTAACCATAAACACTCATGTCTGATGGGGCATGGGAGGTAAGACTTCTGACTCAAACAACCCAATTTCCAACAGGCTCACTTATCAAAAATGTCATCTTTAGGATGTCAAGTTTTTGGTTTTTGAAATACAGATCAGACCTAAAAAACTGTCTAATTTTGTTTGAAAGAAAATTTCTTATGCTAAAGGAACTAACCTTAAAGGACCCCAAATATGTATGTACATATGTATATATATTCTAGAAAGCAAAATAGTAATTTATCAAGTATCATGGTATATAAAAAAGATATATGAGAACCAAACATGGTAGTGCATACCTTTATTCTCAGAACTCTGGAGGCAGAGGCAGACAGGTCTGCGAGTTTGAGACCATCTGAATCTACACACTGAGTTCTAGGACAGCCAGGGCTACACAGTAAGGCCCCGTCTCAAAGGAACAAAAAGACACATAATCACAAAGCAAGGCTCAAATGAAAGTGCATCATTTCTGTATAATCAACTTTTACCTGAATGCCACCATCCGCCACATTCATTTAATTGTGAGTCAATGGGATTACACAACCTCTATAGTTATGCAATGTGTATTTGCATATTACAATAACCCTCAAATCATCTATTATTTTATATATTTATACATATAAATTATGAGACATTTTATGATTATGATGACAGTCAAAGTGCTCAAAGGCAGAGTGAGGGGAGGAGTTCATTAACTAGGGAACTGTTCCTAGTGCATGACCGTTTCATGTGTGTCTTTGTGCACATTTGTGCACATGCGGGTTGACAGGAAGAAGAGGAGGAAAGGGCAGGAACAGAAGACTTGGGCTGTACTCCTGAGTAACACTAAGTAATTTAATTTTCTTAGTTTCCTACTGTGACTCATTCCTCTAGTTTTCTACTCTATAAAAGAAGGCTGATAATGTATGCTCTTTCTGCTTTCTGTTTTTGGTGACAAAATATTCATCCATCATCCTTCCCTACCCTATGCCAGGTTCTCATATTGATGTGAGGGGTTTAAAGCAGGAATAAAAAGTAGGTGCTCCCATTTAACTTCCATGTTATTGGAGAGAGGCAAATTCTAAAATGCAGAACCAGGTAAATAGAGAATAAGCAATAAAGAAAAATAAAGCAGTTTAAGGGGACAATTTATGGGTGAGGACAGCATGGCTATCTTATTTCAGCTGTCAAAGAGATGTCTCCTCAGAGGATTCTACTCTGATTGACGTTGGAAACTACTACTGCTTTGCCAGTCAAAGACACACATGACATGTTTTCTGTTGTAATAATTGTAATTTTAGGTACAGGAGAAGACAGTAGGCACACAAGAATGAAACTGGGTTAATGGCTATTGCAGTAATCTTCAATTTGATATAACAACAGAGGAACTTAGAAGTAGTTCCATTTTAGATAGGATATCTATATGTATATATATATAAGATATATGATATATGCATGTGTCTGTCCATGTAAGTGTATATGTATGCATACTGAGGTAACAATTATGAGCATCCATCCATTTGGACTGAGACGGAGTAGGCCCTAATGTTGGCATGTGGGGTTGTCTGACTTTCTTATTACTGTGTAGCAATCCCTTATACATTCTGAAGGTGACTCTTCCAAGAGGAATGCAAAGCTTTCTCCTCTGAGGCTCACTTCCTACTCTTTTAACAGTAGGGTTTCATGCATCTAATATCCTACTTCAAGATACTGAAAGCTTGGATATTATTTTGAAATTAAGTCTGATAGGGTTAAGTCTGGCTTGGGAAGTTGTTGAGAGGAAAATAGATCAGTTGAAGAATACAGAGAATGCTATTTACTTTTATATGCCCTAGTTAAATGAATAATTATTATTAAACAATCACAACATAAAATAAAGAACTAGATTATAAATAACCTGAGGCAAGAGCTATATCTCATGGGCTTTGCATGTCCATTTCTATGACTCATTCTTGTGTGGCATTAACAGCTATTAATGAAGACATCCTCATGTTAGGTTTGGTAAGTTCATAAGAATATACAATGGGAAAAAAATCATATGTTGTCAGTACCCAGAGAAACAACAATTAATGTTTTGATAATACTTTTCCTTTCTATCTTCCTGGCTTTCCTCAAAGAGGACTGTGAACATGTTAGACACACAGTTGTTACAGACTAAGCTTTTGTTTGCTATATATGACAGAAGAACTCTACATGAAGGTACCTTTTAACGGTGAAATAGGTGTTGTGTGATGGTGTCATCATTTCCTTAGTGTTGGGCCTTGTTTCTTTCTTCCGTTATCATAGCCATTGTAAACATTTTCATGTATAGATATTTATCTGGGTCTCTATTTATACCCTCAGACTTGAAGCAGAAGGAGTTAATTTTTAGAAAGCTATGCCAATTTTTAGTTTCTATTAATGATACAGGAAAGAACCATTTTATTACGCCCTTGCTTCTATTTTATTTTTTTTCTAATATGAAAGGAAAGAGACATTTTATTTTGGCTTTCATATAATAAAATTGAGCATCTCTCACATACCTAGTAGCAAATATGTACTTGCCTCTTTGGAAACTGTTAACATCACTTGGTTAACAGGTTCAACCTATTTCATTCTTCATGTTACTAATGTGAGTTTTAGTAATGGTTAATATAGAGATTTTTCACTTATTGTGTGTTATATAACTCTCTTGAGGTCTTATTGGTTTATGTGATGTTACAATATTTATGCAGGTAATCAAGGAGCTGTTTCTCCTTCACTCCTTGTATTTCAACAGCTAGAAACCAGAAATGTGTCGCAGCCACCTTCACCCTCAGTGTTGATCTGTAGCCAGGGCTCTGACTGTCTAGAATCTGAATTCCCTTCAGCCCTGGTTTCTCGAAGGCTTTGGCCAGTTAGGAACATAGAAAGGCATGGCAGTGTAAAATGAGACAGAAACTATGATAAATATGGATTCCTCCCGTTGGATCTAATTTGCTGGTGCCAGCACCACTGTCCCTTCCACAGCTAAGTTCCTTTCAGGCGGCTTTTCCCTCCTGTTTCCAATTCTCCTGGGATGCTGGCCACCTATCTTTCCCACACTCATTTAGGCAAACTGGTGGTAATGGCTTCCTGCTGTTACTGGTCTCTGGATGCTACAACTTCCTTTTACTGGTTGCTTTAACCATTCCAGGGCTTGCAGCAAATCTTTGCAGTAAGATGCATTCAAAGATAATGTCTTTCTTGCTGGGACCTGGAGTGAAATTGTGTTAAGTTTACGCTTTTCTAGTTTCTTCTAGGAAAGCACCCAAGCAAAGTCAGGTAACAATCTACTCTCATGAATGATAGAAATTAACATCTTAAGGTCAAATCATGGGCCCCACAGTATGATGAGTGAAAGTGAAAGTGTTTTATGGTTTATGAAGTC